GACGACGACGACGACGACGACGACGACGACGACGACGACGACGACTACTACGACTACGACTACGACTACGACTACGACTACGACTACGACTATGACTACGACTACGACTACGACTACGACTACGACTACGACTACGACTACGACTACGACTACGACTACGACTACTACTCCTCCTCCCCCTCCTCCTCCTCCTCCTCCTCCTCCTCCTCCTCCTCCTCCTTCCCCCCTCCAACTTCTGGTGGTGGTGGAAACCAGGCCCCTCAGAGGGAGGGAGAGAGAGGATCGGGTGCTGCCAGAAGTGCCCCTGGCCCCAGGCGCCCCCAGGAGGTCCAGGGAGTCCCCCACGGCCCAGCGGGGGCCCCCAGAGCTCCGAGCGGAGCGACAAAGCCTCGGGCACCTTGAAAGCCTGGGCCACCCTTGGCACCCCCCCCGAGAGAGGGGCCCTTTGTCCGCCGGCACGGATCGACAGAGGACAGCGTGCGCGAGAAATTCTCGAACCCAAACATGCCTGCCTACCAGACCACCCCAACCCAACCCGAAGACCCGAATTTCGGGTTGGGGGGGGGTACGGGCTCCATATGTGTTTTCTCGATGTTCCCGGACCCCCCCCCCCACTAGAAATCGAGGGTAAATCTGACCCTTCGGGTTGGGTTGGGGTGGTTTGGTGGGTGGTGAAAACAAGCCGCTCGAACCAGCGCAGCCCGCTCCAGGGGCGCGGCGGCAGGTGCCCTGGCGCGCCGCTCGCGAATTGCCGTGCCCAGCGCACCTGCGAGCACACATTGCCCTGGGGGCCCCAGCGCGAAGACAGCAGGCTGCCCGGGGTGCAGATGGGCGCAGCCGAGCAGGCCCGCGATTCCACACGCCCTGCGGACCCATACCAAGACCTCCGGCCGTGAAAACTTACAGCCGGAGCAGGAAAAAACAAAGCGCTTGAGGCGCTCCGCCGCTGACGGCGTCCTGGGGCTCCCAAGGAGCCAAGACAGCAGGCCCCCAGGGGCACAGATGGGCGCAGCCGAACTGGCTCGCGAGCCCACGCGTCCTGCGGATCCAGACCAAGACCTCTGGCGGCCAAAACAACAACTGAAAAAAACGCTGGATGCGCTCCGCCGCCCTGGCCATCGCTCGGACGTCCATTCCCTGTGTTTTTGTTCGGTTTCGTGCGTGTTTTTTCGCCCAATAATAAAGGATGCTCTTCGATGGTCCTCGCCGAAGGAAAAATGCACACGTCCGAGCGATGCCAAGCGCCTACGGCGTCCTGGGGATCCCAGAGGGAGGCCCCCAGTCGAGCGCGGGGCCCGCTCTGACCACGCGCGCTCACAGCCCCGCCCCAGGAAATTCCACCCCGAAAGATCGAGGTGTCGCACAGGTAGGGGTGCGAGTTGTCAGCTCATGAGTCCCGGCTCCCTGCGAAAAAAAACACATGTGACCAAAACCATCCTCGCGGGCTGACGCCGGGGAGGCTGGCTCATGGCTGCGCATGGCGACGGTCACATGCAAGCAGGGAAAGGGGGATGCTTGGACGCGATACGTGCCATCTGGGAGAGGCATCCAGTGGAGGAAGAGCGTGCTGGGTGGGAGCAGGAAGAGGAGTATCTGCTGCGTCGTCGCACCGTCGCATACCATGCGCAAAAGGGGTGCAGAAGACACAACTGAGAAACCTCCCGTTCCTGGGAAAAGCAACATGCGCTCTTCAAAGATGGATAGCAGCATGCCAAAATGTCGCCTCTCGGGCGGCAGCCTGGGAGAATCGTGTTCCGCCTGAGATGCGCCTGCAGCGGTGTCAGCGATGCGGTGCGCAGCTTGGCGAGCCGCACCATGATCCAGGTCCACAGCGCCACAGATCACATCAAGTCCGAACCATCCTCGCGGGCTGTTGCCAGAGAGGCTGGCTCATGGCTGTGCACGGCGACGGTCGCAGAAAAACGTGGAAGGGAGATGGTTGAACGCGATACGTGCCATCTGGGAGAGGCATTTACAGTCGAGGAGGGGCCTGCTGGGTGGGAGCAAGAAGAGGAGTATCTATTGCGACTTCGCAAAGTCGCAAACAAAGCGCAGAAAGAACGCACAGGGCAGAATGGCGAACCCCACTGTGAGTGGGCACACCATGGTGCGCCGTGCAACACTTGGTACGTGGCCACACGCCGGAATGTCGCCTCTCAGGCGGTAGCCTGGGAGAGCCGTGCTCCACCCGAGATGCGCCTGCTGTGGTGCCAGCACTGAGGTGCACACCTGGGCGAGCCGTGCAGCGATGCAGGCTCGCGACGCCAGGAGCACACCGAGGCCAAACCATCCTCGCGGGCTGTTTCCCGAAAGGAAGCTGGCTCGTGACCCTGCGAGGGAGCAGGTCACACCATAAAACCGAGCAGGGATGGTAATCTCGATGCGGTTCTCTAGTCGAGGTCGAGCGTGCTGGGAGTAGGTGGAGAGGAGTACCGACTGCGTACTCGCATGCACATGCGCAAAAGGGACGCAAACGGCACAACGGAGAACCATAAAAATAGCCGGACGATCATCATGTGGCGCTCCAAAAGGCTAGCCGCACTATGGCGTTTCGGCGCTCGGGGGCGAAACTAGGATGGAGGTGCTCCGTATAGTGGAGGCCAGTCCACAAGGAACCTTCCACAATAGGCCCAACCCTGAGACCCCAAGACGTCCATTGATTTCTTGTGTGGGCACGTCGCGCTTCCATAGCAAAACCATGGAAACCCAGGAAACCCAGGGCATCCTGGAGGCAAGCAGGGTGTTTCTTGGCATGGGCCTCCAGTGTATTTGCGTTCCTTGTGGAGGCAACACGAACACGTGATGATGTAGGGCATGAAAAGAGCGGTTTCCAGTGGGCTGAGCCACATCCTGTTATGCCGAAATGGGGCCACCCAGTTCCCTTTCAATCATGGAGCTGCATGGCTAACAACTCGCATCGCGCTCCGACAAAGCCGTGCCCCGAACCAGGACCATAGAGCCATGGGCAACTTCGATCACAAACCATCCTCGCGGGCTGCTGCCAGGGAGGCTGGCTCATGACTGTGTGCATAGCTGGCCACAAGAGATGTGATGGGATGATTCAGCTGTATCTACAGAACGTCGAGTCATTACTTGCACTGATGGGGTCGTTGCGGATGTCTTGAGAGTGTTGTTCAATATTGGCTGGCGCTTCCTGCGAGCTGGGCTTCTTGATCAGAGTTCCTGGATTTCCGTTTCCCGTGGCGCCGATTTCGTGGCCAGATTCTTTGATCCAGGGTTTCTGGTTCCAGGTTCCCGACGCCGAAAGCAATCGAAAACCACACGAGCGGCTTCACGGCAGTTCGATGTGGCCCCTGACGCCCAGAAGACCCCGAGGACGACCAAGAGAGTATCTCCGAGAGGCCACCGAAACAGAAAAATCCATGCTCCCCCGGTCAGGGATTGCACGTCGGGCTTCTCACCTGGCCGCCCGAAGAAACCGACGGGTCTGCCGAGGGGTACCTGGTTGGTGGCTCGTCGTAGGCGCCTCCGAGGGCGCCACTTGCACTGGACGGGCCCGTCGAAGTTCCCCCCGGCGTCTGGCTGCTGGCCGGCCGTGGGCGCCTCGTGGGCAGGCATCCCGTGCGCTGGGCGAGTCCGCCGAAGCTTCGCCCGACGCCCGCTTGGTGGCGGGTTGTGGGCGCCCCGTCGGCGCCGCGCGCGCCGGCTGGGTCCGCAGAGATTTCGCCGGGTGGCCGCCCGTGGGGCGCAGGTGCAGGGTCCACTGCAGACTGCAGCACAGCACCACAGCACGGCTCGCACGGCGCAGTCTGCACCACACACACTGCGCCTCCTATGGAGCCTTGCGCCGCACAGCCTGCACACACAGCCTGCACCACAGCTGTCGTGCGTAACGGCTTGCATCACATATGCAGGCTGCACCACACAGCTGGCACCATATAGACTGCACCACGTAGCTTGCACCACGTAGACGCCACGACGCAACCTGTACCACAAAGATTCCCTGTCCCTTGCCTCGAGGCAACCAATGCTGAGCGCGCCGGGTGCGCCACGCGCGCGTCGCGTACGTGGCGCTGCTGGACCAAGCAAGTGGCGCGCTTGACTCACGCGGCGCGTCTGGCGCACCAGGTGCGCCAGGTACGGTTGGGCCGCTGGATCACCAGACGCAAGTGGTGCGGACGCCGCACACGGCGCATCTGGCCCACCTCGCGAGCGCCGCACAACCAGCGTCCGTATCGTTCTCCGATGGCTGTCCACCCGATGGCAAACTCTGCCAATGCTGAGTCCCGGTTGCTTCTGGTATGGTGGGAGGGCGGGTGGGATTGAGCGACGCAGCTTGTGGCGCTCCCGTTATGGACTTGACCCCTTCCCCAAACCTCTTCCCTTGGTTTGGACGGGGGGGGGCAGAGATGCCACCTTACATCCAATCAAGGATCAAGATGCACTTCAACATGCCTCCAAGAGGCCCCGAGATGAATCTAAGTGGCCACGGAGAATCCCAAGGAGACCCCCGAGAAGCCAACACCTGTCAAACACGCACTAGGTGTGCCAATGAATGTGTGCCTTCTCGCCATTTCAATTCCGATAGGCATCTGATGCATCGGAATTGCTCCAATACCGCCAAAGAGCGCCCCAACATGTGCCCAGCAGAGCGCTGCAAGGCCCCCGAAAGTTCTGAAGGGCGGCCCCAGACCGTCCCAAGAGGGCTCCAAGAGGCGAGTTGGTCGTCCTCTAGAAATCCAGTGCTAGTCCCAGCCGCCGACCTTTGACAAAGAAAAACAACAGTTTGACGGGTCTTGGCATCTCGGTGGCATCCTCGGGAAGCTGAAGGGCCAAGATCGGCCCACAATGACCCCCAAGGTCCAAATATGGCATCCAAGATGGCACAATCTGTGCTCAACTGGCTCGAGATGGTCCCCACTACGCTGCTGAGATCTGGACCGGCTAGACTGGGGGATCCGCGATTTTGGAAAAATTAGGAAAAAGTGCAAATACGCGTATCACACGATAACACGAATATAAAATAAGTACGGGTCGGAAAAAACGAGGCAGGCGAGGTCGGCGAAACGAAAGTATGAAGGATGTGCAACGCGACAGTACGGGTACTAAAAAAGTACGAATGCACATCCAAAGCACAAGGAAAATTACGAAATGTGAAACAAGTGTGACAAAAGTGTATCTCTCACACATGTTCCTCACACTTCGGATTTCTGAACTTCTGTACTTTGCACTTCTGCACGGCACATTTCTCGTACTCGTACTTCGGCGTGTTTTTTTTTTTTTTTTTTTTTGTTCTGTTGCAATTGGGATACTTTGCGTACTCCTGAGGGGGCTCCAGGGTTGCTGGCCAGAATCTCCCAACACTAGGCCGCCAAGAGGTTCCATACGGCCCTCAGGCGGCTCCAAATGGCCACGGAGCCTCCCAAAGACGCCCTCTAGAATTCAAAGTCGTCTCACACCATTTGATGTTTCAGTGATGCTCGCATTCTCGCCTTCTCGCTTCTGGTGAGCGTCTAGAGTCTAGAGCCGCAAGATGAACCCGAGATCTCTCAAGAGATTCCCAAGAGATTCCCAAGAACGCTGTCACACGGCCCCCAACACGCCCAAGGGCGCACCAAGAGCGGCTAAGGAGGGCTCCAAGGGAAATTTGTTTCGGGCCAGCCCCAGTTCTTCGAGCAGGAACCGACCTTCCCAGCATTCCGATCGGCCTACCACAACATGTTCCTAGAACCTAAAAATGCTCTAAGAACAAGACCAACGTTCTTATAACACAGTAAGCCCGATGAGTTAAAACAAAACGTTCCCAGCCAGAAATGTTCTAAGAACATTTCGTGCAGCCCACGACAAGTTCTTCGAACATTGCCTGGTGGGCCTATAGGCAAGCCAGGACGCTGCGCCAATGCTCGATTTCTACCGATGTCAACCAAATTGGCCACAAGAGGGCCCCCGAAGGCCTCTGAGAATGGCCCATGAGAGCTCCCAAAGGCATCCAAGCATGGCCCCGACCACGCTCACACATGGCACCCAAAGATCTATCGCAGACCGAAAATCTGCGGCGGCCTTTATGCTTGACTCCTGGCCTTCTCGGTCTGACGTATACCCCCCTCTTTGTTCCACTGCATGCTCCTAATAAGCGTCCCTGGTTTAAGATAACTCGCCTGGTATCGTTTCTGGATGGACTGGTGGAGATGCGCGCAGCGTGAACCATTCGAACACTTATCAGGAGGCTCGTGCCTGCGCACTGTACCGCCGTGACTTGTATGTTGTTGGCTTTCATGTTTCGGCGCGGGCGCCAGCGCCTTCCACTTAGCTACACGAAATCGCTTGACAGATCCCTCCGTCTCATCCTCTTCAGCATTCCACGTAGAAGTCCAACCAGCTGGTGGTGGAACCCGCGGACGCGCGAGACGCGAGCTGCCAGCGCGCGATGTAGCCCGCATGACGAAGCTGGTCTGACGAGTCCAGCTTGTTCCACGACGGAATCAGCCGCTCGAGGAGCAGCGCGCGGAGGTTCCTGTCGAACGCATCATGGTCTGGGATGCGGCTCAGGATCTCTTCCCGGTCCTCCAGCCGGCTCGCCTGCATGTAGGTGATCTGAAGCTTGGAGAGCATGCCCTGCTTCTTCTCCAGAATCGACCGCGAGGGCAGCTGTAGCGACTGGCGCATGCCCACGGAGTGGGCCGCCGCCATCTCAGCGATGCACCATGCCCGCGTGAAGATGACGAAGCGCTTGTCCACAGCAACAAGGTGCGAGAAATCTGGGTTGCCGTGGGAGAGCAGTAGCATCATCGGGTCGAACTTGTTCAACTCGCACTCCACGCTCTTGCCTTCGTCCGTAAGGGGGGGCGTCTTGTTGAAGGACTTTGGCGCGCCGCACTGGCAGAGGGCATACTCTTCGCCCGAAACCGTGTCCCTCCGCTGCTCAGAATTCGACGAGCAGTTGTTGTAGTGCTGGTTCACCGAGAATGCGCATACCCAGAAGGTGCGTCCTCCTACGTCTGCCCGGTCGATCCAGTTCTGGAGCGTGTCGACATCGTGGACGAGCATGTGCCAGACCATGAAGTACTCCTTATCCCCGAGGGTGCTGGACACGATTGCTGCGACCAGGTCCACGAAGAGGTTGCTCCAATTGTGCGTGACCATGGTAGATGGCTCCACGGGACCTCCCATCAGGATCTCGACCATCGACGACCGGCTCGCGGCGGTCAGCGGGATGATCGCCCCACGGACAACGTCCTCCGTGGTGTGTCTCCGCGGGTCGAAGTGGCGCATGGCGTCGCCCCCGAGTCTGCGGTAGAAGTCCACCAGCGCCTGCAGGCTGAGCCTTGGCGGGGACCAGCCAAGAAACGGCACGGTATACACATGAGGTCCAAGACCTTGCTCCGAGCGATCTGGAAGCACATTCTTCGCGGGCACTTGAAGGGCCCAAGGTGTCCCAGAGCTTCTGTGGGCCCCTCAAGGGCCGTCGGGAGGTGATCAATTCCCATGTGGCATATATACAGTTGGGTCTGGCATGTCCCCTACAGGCAGATTTTGGACGAGAGATTCCCCTGGCGAAGTACCCAACCCCTGCGCATTGCGGGGCATGAGTAGCTTGGGCGACTTTTAAAGGGGGTGATGACGAGACATGGACGTATGCAGTTCTGCGATCAGCATTTGGGAGGTCCCATCTGAATCCGCCGCGGGGCCCCACTATGCTGGCCCCCCTAGCAGGCATCGAAAGTGGCGACAGCTTCACAGATCGCAGCACCCCAGGGACGGCGAGGTCCCATTTGAATCTGCGCAGCACGTCACTATGCTGGCCCCCCCCAGCAGCCATCGAAAGTGGCGACAGTTTCACACATCGCAGCCCCGCAGGGGTGGCGAGGTCTCGTTTGAGTCCGTGTAGGGCGTCGCTGTGCTGGACCCCCCTAGCAGGCCTCGAAAGTGGCGACACTTACGCAGACCGCAGCCCCCCAGGGATGGCGAGGTCCCATTGGGATCTGCGTAGGACGTCACTGTGCTGGACCTCCCAGCAGCCGTCGAAAGTGGCGACAATTCAACAGGTAGCAGCCCCCCAGGGATGGTGAGGTCCCATTTGAATCTGCGTAGGACGTCACTATGCTGCCCCCCCCCAGCAGGCCTCGAAAGTGGCGACGGTTTCACAGATTGCAGCCCCCCAGGGATGGCGATTCGTAGGACGTCACTGTGCTGGGCCCCAGCAGCCCTCGAAAGTGGCGACAGTTTCACACATCGCAGCCCCGCAGGGATGGCGAGGTCTCGTTTGAGTCCGTGTAGGGCGTCGCTGTGCTGGCCCCCCCAGCAGGCCTCGAAAGTGGCGACAATTTCACAGATCGCAGCCCCCCAGGGATGGCGAGGTCTAATCCGAGTCTGCGTTGGACGTCACTGTGCTGGACCTCCCAGCAGCACTCGAAAGTGGCGACAATTTCACAGATCGCAGCCCCCAAGAGATGGCGAGTTCCAAATTGTGTCTGCGTAGGACGTCACTGTGCTGGACCCCCCAGCAGGCCTCGAAAGTGGCGTCAATTTCACAGAACGCAGCCCCCCAGGGATGGCGAGGATCCGTTTGGGTCTGCGTAGGACGTCACTGTGCTGGACCCCCCAGCAGGCCTCGAACGTGGCGACAGTTTCACAGATCGCAGCACCCCAGAGATGGCGAGGTCCCATTTGAGTCTGCGTAGGACGTAACTGTGCTGGACCCCGCAACAGGCCTCGAAAGTGGCGACAGTTTCACACATCGCAGCCCCCCAGGGATGGCGAGGTCTCGTTTGAGTCTGTGTAGGGCGTCGCTGTGCTGGACCCCCCAGCAGGCCTCGAAAGTGGAGACAGTTCCACAGACCGCAGCCCCCCAGGGATGGCGAGGTCCCGTTTGTGCTGGACCCCCCCAGCAGGCATCGAAAGTGGCGACAGCTTCACAGATCGCAGCCCCCCAGAGATGGCGAGCTCCAAATTGGGTCTGCGTGGTACGTCGCTGTGCTGGACCCCCCAGCAGGCCTCGAAAGTGGCGACAGTTTAACACATCGCAGCCCCCTAGGGATGGGGAGTCCAAACTGGGTCTGTGTAGGGCGTCACTGTTCCGGACCCCCCAGCAGGCCTAGAAGGATCGCAGCCCCCCAGGGATGGCGAGATCCCCGTTGGGTCTGCGTAGGACGTCACTGTGCTGAATCCCCCAGCAGCCCTCGAAAGTGGCGACAATTTCACAGAACGCAGCCCCCCAGGGATGGCGAGGCCCTGGTTGGGTCTGCGTAGGACGCCGCTGTGCTGAATCCCCCAGCAGGCCTCGAACGTGGCGACAGTTTCACAGATCGCAGCACCCCAGAGATGGCGAGCTCCAAATTGGGTCTGCGTAGGACGTCACTGTGCTAGACCCCCTAGCAGCCGCGACAGGTTCACAGGTCGCAGCCACCCAGGGATAGCTGGGTCCCGTTTGGGTCTGCGTAGGACGTCACTGTGCTGGACCCCCAAGCAGCCCTCGAAAGTGGCGACGGCTTCACACATCGCAGCCCCCCAAGGATGGCGAGGTCCCGTTTGGGTCTGCGTCGGACGTCATTGTGCTGGACCCCCCAGCAGGCCTCGAAAGTGGCGACAGTTCCACAGATCGCAGCCCCCCAGGGATGGCGAGGAACCCGTTTGGGTCTGCGTGGAACGTCACTGTGCTGGACCCCCAAGCAGCCCTCGAAAGTGGCGACAATTTCACAGATCGCAGCCCCCCAGGGATAGGGGAGGTCCCGTTTGGGTCTGCGTAGGACGTCACTGTGCTAGACCCCCCAGCAGCCCTCGAAAGTGGCGACAATTTCACAGAACGCAGCCTCCCCTCCCCGAGGCAAGACGGGCAGGAGGCAGGAAAGAGGCGGGAGGCGGGAGGACGCTACCACAGTCATCTATTCAAAACGAATGCCAAGCCAAGGAGGGTTGGGAATCCGCCGGCCCCCTTGTGGGGCCACCAGGCTGTAGGCGCGAGGTTCGCAGTTTCCTGTACCAGTTGTAGCTTGTAGTTTCCAGTGTTACAGTTCTGCTTCTTGCTGGTTATTGTAACTAGTTGATTGAACGCGCGAGGGGGGGGGAGGCCCAAACAGAATTTTTAGCACCCCCTGGGCGCGTTGTGTGAATTGCTGGGGGGGCTCGAAATCGACACCCCTCACGCAGATCCGCGGGGTCAGGGTCCAAAAACACATGGGATTTGCAACATTTCTGAAATTCGGTGCCACCCCTCACGCAGATCCGCGGGGTCAGGGTCCAAAAACACATGGGATTTGCCACATTTCTGAAATTCGGTGCCACCCCTCACGCAGATCCGCGGGGTCAGGGTCCAAAAACACATGGGATTTGCCACATTTCTGAAATTCGGTGCCACCCCTCACGCAGATCCGCGGGGTCAGGGTCCAAAAACACATGGGATTTGCCACATTTCTGAAATTCGGTGCCACCCCTCACGCAGATCCGCGGGGTCAGGGTCCAAAAACACATGGGATTTGCCACATTTCTGAAATTCGGTGCCACCCCTCACGCAGATCCGCGGGGTCAGGGTCCAAAAACACAGGGATTTGCCACATTTCTGAAATTCGGTGCCACCCCTCACGCAGATCCGCGGGGTCAGGGTCCAAAAACACATGGGATTTGCCACATTTCTGAAATTCGGTGCCACCCCTCACGCAGATCCGCGGGGTCAGGGTCCAAAAACACATGGGATTTGCCACATTTCTGAAATTCGGTGCCACCCCTCACGCAGATCCGCGGGGTCAGGGTCAAAAACACGCCACATTTCTGAAATTCGGTGCCACCCCTCACGCAGATCCGCGGGGTCAGGGTCCAAAAACACATGGGATTTGCCACATTTCTGAAATTCGGTGCCACCCCTCACGCAGATCCGCGGGGTCAGGGTCCAAAAACACATGGGATTTGCCACATTTCTGAAATTCGGTGCCACCCCTCACGCAGATCCGCGGGGTCAGGGTCCAAAAACACATGGGATTTGCCACATTTCTGAAATTCGGTGCCACCCCTCACGCAGATCCGCGGGGTCAGGGTCCAAAAACACAGGGGATTTGCCACATTTCTGAAATTCGGTGCCACCCCTCACGCAGATCCGCGGGGTCAGGGTCCAAAAACACAAGGGATTTGCCACATTTCTGAAATTCGGTGCCACCCCTCACGCAGATCCGCGGGGTCAGGGTCCAAAAACACAGGGGATTTGCAACATTTCTGAAATTCGGTGCCACCCTTCACGCACATCCATCGCAAGGCGTGGTAACCCAAACTGCGAGAACTCCCTCGGCCCTTTAATCGCAAGGTGTGGTAACCAAGCCCGTAAACCATACACGTCTTACCAATCGCCAGGTGTGGTAACCCCTCTTGTGATCAGTTGGTTTTGCTGATTGCGACTCGGCTTCGCATGAAGTTTCGATACTGCTTCACGACAGCGCCAAGGCCTCATGACTTAGCTCTTCCATGGCCCATTCTCCGAGAGAGGGGGCCGGCGGCAGGGGGCGAAGCCCTTCCGGATAACAGATATCCTCAACATGCGCAACAAGTACCCAAAAAATGCCAGAATTATCCTGTGACGTACCCAATCATGTCTATACATGTGGCGATGATACTCGGGACCACTCAATGCTGACTGGCATTCTGAAGGAACCGCAGTGCGCAAGAAGAGGACCCAACAGTGATTTCAGAAGAGCGCAGCAAGAACAGGAACGGAACACAATACAAACTATAAACAAAAGGGCGTTGAACGAAACGTGCCTCCGCTGGGCCTCCCAGGAGCCCACTAAAGTGGCGACAATTGCGCAGATCGCAAGCCCCCCCTATGGGGCGGCGAGGCACCGAGGTGGTCCGCGTGGGACGTGCCTCCGCTGGGCCTCCCAGGCGCCCACGAAAGTGGCGACAATTGCCCAGATCCCAAGCCCCCCGAGGGGCGGCAAGGTACCGAGGTGGTCCGCGTTGGACGTGCCTCCGCTGGGCCTCCCAGGAGCCTACGAAAGTGGCGACAATTGCGCAGACCGCAAGCCCCCCAGGGGGCGGCGAGGTACCGAGGTGGTCCGCGTGAGACGTGCCTCCGCTGGGCCTCCCAGGAGCCCACGAAAGTGACGACAATTGCGCAGATCGCAAGCCCCTCAAGGGGCGGCAAGGAACCGAGGTGGTCCGCGTGGGACGTGCCTCCGCTGGGCCTCCCAGGAGCCCACGAAAGTGACGACAATTGCGCAGGTCGCAAGGCCCCCCATGGGGCGGCGAGGTACCGAGGTGGTCCGTGTTGGACGTGCCTCCGCTGGGCCTCCCAGGAGCCCACTAAAGTGGCGACAATTGCGCAGATCGCAAGGCCCCCCATGGGGCGGCGAGGTACCGAGGTGGTCCGTGTTGGACGTGCCTCCGCTGGGCCTCCCGGGAGCCCACGAAAGTGGTGACAATTGCGCAGATCGCAAGCCCTCCAGGGGGCGGCGAGGTACCGAGGTAGTCCGCGTTGGAGGTGCCTCCGCTGGGCCTCCCAGGAGCCCACGAAAGTGACGACAATTGCGCAGATCGCAAGCCCCCCAGGAGGCGGAGAGGTACCGGGGTGGTCTGCGTGGGACGTGCCTCCGCTGGGCCTCCCAGGAGCCCACGAAAGTGGCGACAATTGCGCAGATCGCGAACCACCCAGGGGCCGGCGAGATACCGAGGTGGTCCGCGTGGGACGTGCCTCCGCTGGGCCTCCCAGGAGCCCACGAAAGTGGCGACAATTGCGCAGATCGCAAGGCCACCAGGGGGCGGCGAGGTGCCGAGGTGGTCCGCGTTGGACGTGCCTCCGCTGGGCCTCCCAGGAGCCTACGAAAGTGGCGACAATTGCGCAGATCGCAAGCCCCCCAGGGGGCGGCGAGGTACCGAGGTGGTCCGCGTGGGACGTGCCTCTGCTGGGCCTCCCAGGAGCCTACGAAAGTGGCGACAATTGCGCAGATCGCAAGCCCCCCAGGGGGCGGCGAGGTACCGAGGTGGTCCGCGTGGGACGTGCCTCCGCTGGGCCTCCCAGGAGCCTACGAAAGTGGCGACAGTTGCGCAGATCGCAAGCCCCCAGTGATCGCAACCCCTAGGCGAGGCCACCCAACAGACAAGACGGCGAGGCAGGAATCAGGAAGCAGACGGCAGGAGAGCACAGAAGGCAGGAGCGAGGAGGCGGGAGAAGTTGAGGGTGGAGACCACACTGCTCTATTCGAAACGAGAACCCAACATAGGAGTGTTGGGACAAATCATCCCCATACTGACTATTCATGAATATCCCTCCTGTAGAGGGACGTGCCCACTGTGCTGCCGCGGGGAATCTGGCCATTGGCGACCAAGGCACTGAGACCCGACGTCACGAACGGCACGCCACATCGTGATAAGACTCGACCAGCGCCCTGGGCCTCGTCTTTCGGCGGCAACTCTCGAGCCGGACCGATCCGTGAGGGCCGGGGCCCGAAACGAGGCAGTCGCCCGTGGAGGACCACAGCGCGACGCCAGCAGGATTTCAGCGGGGGGGGCTCCTGAGAGACTCAAAAAGCTGATGGGCCTGTTTTCCACCACCACCACCAACACAGGTTGGAGGGGGAGGGGGGCCTCCTCCTCCTCCTCCTCCTCCTCCTCCTCCTCCTTCTCCTCTTCGTCCTCCTCCTCTTTCCCGAGGGGGGCTTCCTCCTCCTCCTCCTCTCCTCCTCCCTCCTTCCTCCCTCCTCCTCTCCTCCTCCTCCTCCTCCTCCCTCCTCCTCCTTCCCCCCTCCAGCTTATGGTGGTGGTGGAAACAGGCCCAGCAAGAGCACAAGGCGTGCGAGGCAAGGGGCATCGGCATGTAGCGTCCACCCCTTCGAGGAGCCCGCGGCCGGCGAGCGCCTGCACCTTCTGGGGCGCGGCTTCGTGGGGGGGGGGGGGGCGACAGGCGGGGGAGGACGAAGCGGCGTGCACCCGTCGCGCCTCTTCTGGACCTCCGGGGATCCCTCTAGGGCACCTAAGCACCCTCCTGCACCTTCTTGGGCGTTGCTGCGTGGGGTGCGACAGGCGGGAGAACGAAGCAGCGTGCACCAGTCGTGCCTCTTCGGGGCCTCCGGGGGTCCCTCTAGGGGACTATAAGCACCTTTCTTGAGGAGCGACGGCGCTCGGCCGGGGAGCAAAAGCTGAAACTCGGTGGGGTGCACGAGAGGTGCAGCTTCCTCGAGGAGCAGCTGCGCTCGGCCAGGGGAACAGCCGAGCTCGGCCGACGCGGAGCTCGAACAGCCGAGCGCCAGGCTGAAGCCCTTGCCCGCCGACCTCGGCCTCGGCGGAAGTCGGCCTCGGCGGAGCTCGGCCCGGGCCGAGCTCCGCCGAGGCCGAGTGCAGCCGAGGCCGAGTTCGGCATGGCCCAGCGACGCCTGGCCGAGCTTTTCCGTTGCCCTTCACTGCCCCCCACTCATCTACAGGCCTCCCGAAGAAGGTGCGAGTAGATGAGGCCAGAGAACCGCGCCGCATCGACGACACATCGGCGATGCGGCGCCGACGTTGGCGTGGAGAAGCCACGAGCTCCACATCGAGCCGCATGGCCGGTGCATCGGCGATGCGGCGAGACCCTTCGACCCCATCTGCAGCGACCCCATCATGGAAGCCTGGATCATCGCCCCCCCCCATGTCGCCGCGTCCGACCTTCGCCTGCCAGCGCGGCTCCGGGTGCGGGACCCACCGCTCGGAAGAGCGCCGCCAGGTCGCGCGGCGCACCTGCTCGGCGTGGACGCACTGGCGGCCTCCGCTCAGAGCGCCGAAGAAGACCCCGCTCAGCGCCAGGCTGGCGACGGCCGAGGACCGAACCACGGCGAGTCGAAAGCACGATCCCTCGGAGATCGAGCAGGGGATCCACTGCGGAACCGATGTGCCCCAATACTGTTCTTTCCTCCGCGAGTCACACGCAGGAGGGTCGTAAATCTTCGACGGGCCTGGGCGCTCCTCGTGGACCCGACGAACAACTCAACTCTGGGGCAAGCCGCTTTTGATTCTGCAGTCGATCCCCTATACTCGATCGAGGAGGCCCGCGCGGACCTCTCGAGCTGGCGCCGAGCCGCCCCTCCCTGGGGGGGAGGCGGAGGAGGAGGAGGAGGAGGAGGAGGAGGAGGATTTTTTTCTAACGGCTACCAACTGCCCACGTACACCCTGGGGGGCGGGCGATTCCACCCCAGGGGAAGCTGAGGGCACAGGGTCAAAGCCTACTCTGAACCATGGCTCGCAGCAGGCGCCGCCGAACCGACGGAGGCCGCAAGAAACAGAGCATCCTCCACCTCTACATCATCAAGCCTGAGGATCTCCAGCTGGGCCTGGTCCCCAAGCTCGACCTGGCACTCTGTCTCTCCCTCGCTGGGTCCAGCAAGGCTGGGTGCACTGTGCAACCGACGGCCACCCTCCACCTCCAGACGAGCACGAAGGCGCCCCTCAGAGCGCTGGCCCCCAAGTTCCACCTGGTACCTTGGCAGAGGGGGGGCGCAACAGCATGCGCCTGGAGCGCATAAATCGGGCATAGACTGTCCACGTCTATTGTGACCCCACGCTTCTTGACCGAAGGGTGGAGCCCGCGTTTGAGTTTGGACCACGGGTTCATGTGCGCAGCGGCCTTCTGAGGCTCACACTTCTTGCCAAGGTTGGCAAGCCGAGCGCCAGAGGTCATATAGCTGCATCTTTGGCATATGCACAAGAAAAACCCGTCGGAACAGTCGACTACAATACAACGGTGGCCGAGGGCTCGCAAAGCCTCAGGCTGCACTCGTAAGGACTGGGAGCACGCTCCACCCACAGGGGGTGAACTTGGCTTGCCCCGACGCCCGCGCAAACACTCGCAGCACTGCCAAACAGAGCCTACCCAGCACCACTTATGGGGCGGGCGCTGAGGAGTAGAAACAGGTTTGGGCGGATCTGGCGTGCGCTCCACACCCGGACCCATAACAAGGCGAGGCCAGGACGGCAACAGGTTGGCCGCCAGAACGCCAACAGCCTTCGCAATCGAAATGTCCTGATCGATCAACTCCGCATACTTAGGATCCGGAGAGGGGTGCGAGGCCACCGCGAGCTTGGCCGAGGCGTCGACGGCGCAGTTACCTTCGCAGCAATAACGCGCCCAGTCATCTTCGCACGAGCTGAGGTCCTGGTGAGCCCTGACTTTACTGACAGAGCACTGGTTTGCAAAAGGCCTACAAAATTGGGCAACCCCCGAATATGTACGCTTGGGAGAGCACTGGGCGTCAGTTGGCAAAGCGTGGAAATCAATGCAACTCTGGCAATCCAGGAACAGCTCGCTAGGGCCATTTGACCACTGACATCCGACGCTGTATGCATAAAACTCGGCCGCCTTGGGCGTCTGGGGACAAGGAGCCCTGACTGGCCCCCGAACCCTGAGTTTCTCGAGACCTGTGGCACGACACCAAACACTGAAGGCCCAACCAGCGCGGTTAAGCTCCGATATGACACGTCTCGTGCAGGATCCGTCGGCGAAAATATCACCCTGGACGTCGGTGTTGAGATCTCCGGCTTCTCCAACCCACTCCACCACGATGTCCCCAGACGAAACAGGCCCAGGAACATCATCTCCAGGATGCGGGAAGACCCCGTAGCAAGCCAGGGCATCATCAGCAACAGCAGCAAGTCTGCGGACTTCAGGCTTGACGAGATCAGCACGAAGTTCTTCGACCGCCTCGCACTCCCACAGACGATGCCTTAAAGTGTCGGGCGCGGCGAGGCACAACTGGCACAAGTTGTTGATCTTATAGCCTAGACTTACAGCTCGCGTGCGAGTGTAGACGGCATCACAAAACAAAGCACGAAAGCAACCCTTCTGGAACAGAGTGAACCGCCCAGAATTCAGAAGATGAAGGATGCCATCCGCACAAGCACGCTTAGAAAGGTTCAGACGGGCCCCAAAATCCCACTCCAAGCCCCTCAAAACAGCTTTTTTCAGCAAAACCTTGACCAAAGAAGTGAGGGAGACCCTGTGACCCTGATCCGTGAGCAGAACCGCAAACGAAGGCATACTCCACGAAATTCTCTCGCAAGACTTTCTCAGAGCAGAAATAAGCCCGGACACGTTACGCCACAACGGGGATTCGCCCGAAAATCAGGCCTCCCAGGCAGCACGGAGCTCAGGGAGAGGAATAGAGTGAGGGTACAACCGAAGATGGGAGGTCCAGACTTCCTTGGACCACCGAATGATAGGCGCCACGCTCGCCAGCCAGCACGGGTCCTGGTGAGCCAGCAACAAACAAGTGAGACTACGGCCCTTGGCCGAGGGCTGAAGGATGGAGCCAGCCTGGCGGCGGAGGTTGAGAAGCTCGTAGTCCGTAACCCCATGGACGTCAGCACCGAAAAGATTAGACGCCATGGAGCCGGAAGCAAAAACCTTCCGCGCAACGCGGCCTCCAATGGTCGGGCGAAGCCTCGAAAGCCTACCACAGAAACCTTTCGATTTGTGTTCCCGGGCCTTGGCCTTGCTAGACCTCCCCTTCCTCCTCCTCGATCTGCCGGCGCAGTCGTCAACGCCTAAGTTGGCTGCACTGCTCACGAGAGGACCGGCCAGGCCGCCCAGCCGTCGGCCGAGCGTTCTGCCCAGATCGAGCGACGAGCAAACTAAGGAGCGCTTGCCAGGGTCGTCCGAAACCTTAGCTCCCACTCCAACCTCCAAAGCATCGTGAAGCGCAACGACAGCTGGCGGAAGATGAGTGAGAATGTACTCCTTATAGCCCGTGGCCGAAAGACCAGAATCGTCAATATAAAGTTTGAAATGGACCTGGGCAGGGAACGACAACTTATCTAGGGCAATGAGAGCGTAAACCTGGATCAAGCTGGTAGCGAAACTGCACCCCGCCACGATTCCCCGCCCAGCCCAATAAGGGCCGTCCACGAAACCAGCCAGCCGAAACCATGTGGCCTGAAGGTACATGGACACAGCCAGGTACGCAACTCCGAGGGGGAATTGAAGTTGGCGACAACGAAAAAGAAGCTCACGGAGGTCGGTCGTTTTGTAATACTCGTAAAGATCGAGCAAGACCGTCGCCGCCTCCTCGTTGGCCAGGGTGCTGGATTCGGCACGGAGCGCCTGCCTCCAGACCACGTCTTGGGCCCCCTCGAAGGGCCCAGCCGCGAAAAAAGGAAGGGCAAAACGCGTTTCCCATTCCTGGGCCAAAGGCCGCCGGACTCGGCCATAGGCCCGATACACGGCACAGAAATTCCCAATCGGTCTGAAACCGACCGAGGCCTTGGGAACGAGGGACAACATAATGATGGCAATCTGACGGGGAAGCAACGCAGAGAGCTCCAGCAAACAAATGAATGAGTGACGTGAGGGTCGAATCACTCATCATACTGAAATGTCGCATATGGAACCCGTCAGTGGCAACCGAAGTGTTTTCCTTAAATCCACTGGAAAACGCACGAACGGCGGCAACAGGCACCAGAGGCAGCTCTGGCAGCGGACCGTCATGCCGGAACCAAATGTCAGCACTGCCATCGCCCCAAAGATCGGCAAACCTCCTACTTTCGGTCTGGAGCAACGACAAAGGATCGCACACGACATCCCCATCCAAGCTCAGAGTCGTGGTGGGGGTCCATTTCGTGGCCCCCTTGGCCACCAAATGGACCCTCCGAGCCCCCCGATCAGCCCGGTACAGGATCCAGTCCCGAAAAGCTTTGGAAGCCGATTTACGGGCATGGGCCTCAACAGTCCCCAAGGCGACCTGGAAGGACCCGCGGAGACCCTCAAATCGTTCCAACCAGGCACCTTCCATGACCTCGTACATGGGCAGCTCTAGGATGAAAAAGGCCAGCTGGTCCAGAAAACAAGCTCGATGACCTAAGCTGCTGACCATCTGAGCCGAAGGCTGCTGCAAGGATCCGAGCACCGCGCTAATGCCGCGCTGGTTGCCGTCAGCCCAGTGGCCACGGAAGTCGCCGAACTGCGACGCGAGCCACTTGCACGCAAAAAGCTCGGAACACGGCACTTGCTGCCCAGGTGGCAAAATGGGTTTCCAAAATAACTGGGCTGCCTTACCCCTGGCCCCCCAGCAAGGCAGCGAAACCCCCGTCGCCGCAGCTACTTCCCTTTCAGCACAGTTGGCCCACATCTTGTAGGCCTTGTCCAGCTTAGCCTGGGCATCCGAAAAATCACTGCGACTCGCCGAGAGCTTAGCCGCATCGATGAGGGACGGAAGATGCACGGCCTCAGGGGTAGGAGGCACCAGACAAACAGGAGGGACGGCCTGAAAGGGACGCGGCGGAGGCTGCCTAAAAGCCAGACACTTAAGCTTACCGAGGTGGGGGTGCAGAGTGACCTGGACAGGGTAGTGGGGGGACAAATTGGTGACCCGCACTGGCGCCACCGAAGCAACAGCTTTAGCCACCCCGGGACTGGCCAAGAGAAAATCAGACTGCTTAAGGCCAGCCGTGCTCCGACAAATATGTTCCCCCGTAGCGAGGGTCCGAACCTTGACGGATTCGTGGGCCAGAACTCCAGAAGAAGCGAGGAGGGAAGGCTCCATGTTGAAATCACCCCCCACAAAAAACTGCAAGCCCACGGCGCCCCCCAAAGAAACACACGAGGACAAGAGGGAGGCCTGAGAGGTCCTCGCAAACGTAGAAATAGGCCGAGACCACGAGCAGAGGAGGGGCCCCCGGGAGTTCAACAACTCCAGCAACAGCACGAGCTCGAACAAGTTCGTGACCAGATGGAAGTGCGCGGAGGCCGAGCCCGCTACGCAGAAGCACAGCCACGCCTCCCGAGGCGCCACCTCCATCAGCGCGCACTGCTGGTGACCACAGGCTCTTCCATCCATTCCTGGCGGCCCAGCTGGATGCCGAAGCAATCTGGTGGTCGAGCTGCTTATGCTCTTGGACGAGAACGATGTAAGCACAGGTACGTCCTAACCACGTCTGGCCAGAACCTCAGCCCGACACATTACAGGTCTCGAGAACCGGGCAAAACGACTCAGCAGGAAAATCATCAAGAGATAGGGGCTTCGTTAGAACACATCCCCGAAGGCAAAGGGGGGCCTCGGGAACATGGGGGCTCCGAAGGACCATTTGGTAAGGACCTGGAATAACAGCCGCTTCAAGGGCCCCCTTGGCCCTAGCAGCCGTGTGTCTCAAAGCCCGAAAAAAAGGTCCCTGGAGCGAAACACGAGACAGCAAGAGAGAGTCAGGCTCGTCCGGAGCACGCGCAAGCGGAGAAGCCGAAAAGGCCTTGAAACACTTAACGTCTTGAGCCGACGACGCGTTCACCGAAGAAGCAAAACCGCCAGAAACAAATTCAGAGTTCCAGCGTGGATGAGACCTGCCGGGCGGGCTGGCCGAGAAATGATGAAACAACAAATTGGAGCCACAGCTCACAACGAAAGCTTGCTCAGGAGACGCGTTTTCCCCCCTAAGGACGCCGTCAGACCTACTGAAGGGGGGGACCCTGTTGAGGCAACTGTAAAATCTTCTGGGCACGAGTGCGGGCATTGCCATCATAAGCCGGTCCCGAAGATGCTGAACTTCCTGGAGGCGCGGATCCGGCAGCAGTCGAGGAGGAGGAGGAGAAGGAGGAAGAGGAGGAGGAGGAGGAGGAGGGGAGAGGAGGAGGAGGAGGAGGAGGAGGAGGAGGAGGAGGAGGAGGGGAGGGGGAGGCGGAAGGAGGGGGAGGGGAGGAGGAGGAGGGGGAGGAGGAGGGGGAGGAGGGGGAGGAGGAGGAGGAGGAGGAGGAGGAGAGAGGAGGAGGAGGAGGGAGGAGGAGGAGGGGCGGAGGAGCCGCGGGCGCGCGGGGGGGGGCGGGGGGCCGCGCCGATGCGAGGCCCGCACGGAGCTCGGAGAAGCGGCGCCCGTGCCTGAAGGGAACTGGGGCACACAAATTCCTCTCCTCCTCCTCCTCCTCCTCCTCCTCCTCCTCCTCCTCCCTCCTCCTCCTCCTCCTCCTCCTCCTCTCCTCCTCCCCTCCTCCTCCTCCTCCCTCCCCCATCCTCCTCCTCCTCCTCCTCCACTCCTCCTCCTCCTCCTCCTCCTCCTCCTCCTCCTCCTCCTCCTCCTCCTCCCCTCCTCCTCCTCCTCCTCCCCTCCTCCTCCTCCTCCTCCTCCCCTCCTCCTCATGTTCCTCCCCCTGTTCCTCCTCCTCCTCCTCCTCCTCCTCCTCCTCCACAAATAAAAAGATTCCCCCATATTTTCCCAACTTTAATAAGTTTTTGTCTGCCCCCCCACTTCCCATAGTGTCCCATGTTGTCGGGGGGAATCGACGAGTAATTGTGTCTGTGTGTTCGTGTTCCCTCCTGAGTGCCATGCTTCGTGCCTCGGGGTGGTGTTGGCAATCACGTCGAACAGCGCCAGGCTAAGGAAGGAGGCGATCAGGAACTGCGGCGTCCTTATGCGGTCGCTCGGCGCGGGGATCGGCCAGAGGAGGTCCGTGGCCCAGTACTTCCCGAGCAGGCTCAGGCTGGTGCTCAGGACGCACACGGCCGAGCCGAACATCTGGAAGCGCAGGGACCTGGGGGCATTCTGGCCCTCCTCGTCCTGCATGCCGACGGCCACGGTGTGGTTTCGCGCCTCCTGGGTCAGACTGGCAATCCGCCACAAGCCGTGCAAGAAGACAAGCAGCGCTGACGCCATGAGGAGCTGGACCAGCCACATCGCCAGCCCTGTTGTCACTCGGATGGGACTCCCTTTGGCCCCCAGAGAGCTATCCGTCATCGTAAACGTTGCTGCCACATAAAGTCCAACAAGCATGGTGGCCATGATCATTCGCCACAACCAGTGAGCACGCATGGGGATGAACGAACTGTGTTCGAGCATCAGCAACTGGAGCCGGAGAATCCACCAGAAATAGCCGAAGGAGGCAATGATGCTGAGATTATAGATCCACCTGTTGGCCAAGCGCAGCAGGTCCAGGCCTTCGTAACCACCCGCGCACTGCATCCAATAGGCGACGAGCCCTGTCCACTGCTGGAGCCACTGGAGCAGCGCGTACTCCGAGACGCGGCGCAGGTGCGAGGTTGTCAAGATCCGGCGCAGCAAGAAGGCCACCGGCGCAGTCACCAGGACGCCGACGAGGTGGAGCGAGACCTCCCAGCGTGTGTACATGGCGACATCCTCTGGACTCAGGAGGATGAGGAGGAGGAGGAGGAGGAAGAGGAGGAGGAGGAGGAGGGATAAGGGAGGAGGAAAAGGATGAGGAGGGAGGAGGGGGCGACATCCTCTGGACTCAGATGACTCGCCCTGGGCACCCGTCGCTCCGAGAGCACGCACTGGGTCTGGATCCCGCGGCCGCCTTCTGCAGCAGTTCATGGGAGCCTGCCATACCATCTGGCTGGCTCTTGCGAATCGACGCTCGTCAACGCTTACCGAAGCCAAATCGACGCTAATCGACGCTATGTCGACGCTAGTCGAAACTAATCGACGCTAAATCGGCACTGTCTCATAGATGACCAGATGCTAACTGATAGACGCCAGCGCACTCGAATGGTAGAATTACTACGCGGGTGCACGAGGCCCCCATGATTTGCTGCCGCAGCCGCCCGTCGCGGCCACGACCAGGAGGACGCCCAGCGTCATGGCAAGGACCGCCCACGAGAGCACCCCGTGCCCGAGGTGGCCGACGGCCGCGCGGCAGCCCCCGCCCGCGACGAGCCGCCCCGCCGCGCGACGGGCGCACGGGCGCGCGGCGGGCTTCTGGGTGCGCGGCCGGGGCTGCCGCTGGCGCCGCGGGCTCAGCGGGCTCAGCGGGCTCGCGGGCTCCTCGTCCTCCTCGGGGACCCCCAAAGTCTCACGAGGAAGGAGCCCTGGAGGCCTCGGGCGGCCGCCCGAGTCCCGATTGACGTCCGATCCACGTCGGATTCACGACGGGCTCGCGTCGGAGCATGTCGGAGCTGCGTCGGATCCACGTCCGATTTCCGTCGGACTTGGGTCGGAGCATCGCCGCGCGAAGGTCGTCCCGCATCTGACGGGGCGGACCTGCGGACTGGACCATGCAACCACTGCGCGGCGCGCGAGGCCTCCGGGACGTTCCTCCTGAAAAGGCAGCGTGGCGACGGGCGCGCGCGGAGACGGCCTCGAGAAATCCCACGCGACCTCACCGCGCGGTGCGCCACCGCGCGGCCACGGGACCTCGAGACCCCCGCGGGGCGGGACGCCCTCGGAGAACGAGCCCCCGCTCCCCCAAAAACCGTGCGGCGACCGTGGCCACCACACCATCTGGGGGCCCCCGCTCCTCGCCCTCGGACTCGGCGGAGTCCCTCGAGGGCCGCCGCGGGAGCTGGGCGCCCGGGCCCTCCGCGTCGGGCCGGCCGTCCGCGTCCCGGCGCTCGGGCCCCTGGCTTGCCGAGAGCGGCGCGGGCGGGCGGGCTCGCGCGGCGTGCGCGCGTGCGGGGTCGTGTGGCTCGCACATGTGCTCGCGCACTCTGCGACGTGGGGATGCGGCTTGGGCACGAGTGGACTGAGCCAAGGCGGCTGCGGACCGCTCCTCCTCCTCCCTCCCTCCCTCCTCCTCGTCCTCCTCCTCCTCCTCCTTCTCCCCTTCCCCCCCCCCCCCCTCATCCGCATCCGTGAAAGGGGCAGAGGGCTGTGTGCTATTCTGCAACGATCTAGCAGGTGTGACACGTCACCGTGACGTCGGTACAGAGTGGAGTGTCTTGACGTCCCTCGGATCTCTCAATCCTGACCAGCGATAGCACGAGTTGACAATCGCATTTGTGGATTCCCGGGAAATGTTGGCGCTCTGTGGGATCACCGCGTGACCGTTCTCAAAGCCTCGGGGGCGTGGTTGGGGGCCTCAACCTACAATGTGCCCCGATCCCCGGGGAGGTCCAGGCCAGGCCCTTTTTGGGAGCCTCTTGTAGGCAAAACCGCGTCCCATCACTTGCAGAGTAACTGCTCGCAAATGACTTGGATCCGCCGCGGTGGATTCACGATCCATTACGGCGAGGCAAGCAAGCGCGCGATTTCGGATACCCTGAAACCGCAAACGCTTTCATATCTTGGTGGCGCATCTTTCACTTCCGCCACCCTCCGCCGCCCTTCCGCTGGCCTTCCGCCGGTTTCCACCGGCGGGGGCGGCCTCGTTTTGCTTCCGCCGACCTTCCGCCGCCTTCCGCCGCGGAAGAGATGACAACTCCGTCGATCCTCGAAGGCAAGGTCATTCGTGGAGCGCCCAAAGAATTTGCTTGGGGACGTTTGCGAGTAGGCACGCTGCGAGCAGTGAAGCGCGCCCGGTGATCTTGGGCCCTCTTGGAGGCCCCAGGCGGCCAGCCCTGGAGGCGGCCCAAAGCAGTGAAGCGCACAGAATGCGGGCTGATGATTCGTGTTGGCTGCTCTGGGTAACGAGCGGCTGGGATGGCCCGCCCCAAGACGGCCCACAAATCCCCGAAGAGAGGCCCAAGAGGCTCCCAAAGCCCAAGAGCAGCCCTCAGAAACAAGTTCGAAATGACGCTCGGAACCAGGGGCCCAACAAGGGGCCCACCAGGAGGGGAAAAGAACGGGCGAACGAGGATGATGGGAACAAGGGGAATGGAGGCTGGGGGGAGCGAGGGGAATGGGGGGCGAGAGGAATGGAGGCTGGGGAAAGAGAAGGCGGTGTGGGCGGGGCGGCGGAGGATGAAAGAGGAAGACGAATTAAAGTAGGAGAAGAAGGAGGACGACGACGAGGAGCATAGGGGGGGGTGCAGCAGCACCAGCAGGAGAGGAGGCAGGAGGGAGAAACAAGAGGGGTAGGATATTAGGGAGAGCGGAGGGCGGGGAGGAGGGAACGGACGGAGGAGATCGAGGACGAGGAGGACGAGGAGGAGAAGGAGGAGGCGACACGGCGTCCGATGAGGGACGGGAGGAGTCCAGAGAATGCAGATTCACGCAACATAGCCCTGCCTCGCACTGCATGCTCTCCAAGCCTGTTGATTTGGTGGGGGGTGGGGGGGGCGGAACGACAAGGGCCCCCCCCTCGGTGCGTCTTTGTCGCTATGCCCCGCAACCGAGCGAAACCTAAGGATGCATAACCTCACGCGCCCCAAGAGACGGCTGCAACAGGGGGTGCGGTGCCAGACTATAATCTGGTCTACACCCAAGACCGTGGTGTTGGGTCCCTGTTCCCTGTCGCGGCGCGCTCACTGGAAGTGAGGCCTATTCGGTGCGTCAAGATATTGCGCATGCGCGCGCTCAGGCCCACCCGCCACGGAAGCTGGAGACAGGAAGAAGAGCGAGTGCAAACATGACACGTAAGAGGAAGACCAGCATGAGTTCGAACGGACGCACGACAAAGTCATGCTCTACGAGTTTTGGACGCTGAGTGTATGCTTGTGTGGTTTGACGCTTTGATAAGGGTCCTGGTTTCTGATGTTCGCATGGTTTCTGCATGATTGGAGGAGTTTGCCTATGTGAGGCCCCTGGTGGCCCTGCGAGTTCTAAGGATAGCGGATCCTGTTCAAAGTGGGGCGTTCACCTGAAGGGCAGGGCCAAGGGCGCTTCCCGCAGTGACAGCGACTGCTGGTATGGATGAATGACTAGTGACATTGGGGAGGGAGGGTGTACCATCCTTGGCTTCCTCTGGCCATCCCCCTCATCCCTCATCTCATCCATCCTCCTCCTCCTCCTCCATCTCCTCTTCCTCCTCCTCCTCCGCCTCCTCCTCCTCCTCAACATCACCACCACAACCACCATCATCACTATCATCACCATCATCACCATCACCATCACCATCACCATCACCATCACCATCACCATCACCATCACCATCACCATCATCATCATCATCATCATCATCATCATCATCATCATCATCATCATCATCATCATCATCATCATCATCATCATCATCATCATCATCACCATCCTCATCATCTTCATCAGCATCATCAGCATCATCAGCAGCAGCAGCATCAGCATCATCATCAGCATCATCAGCAGCAGCAGCACCATCATCATCAGCATCGAGCAGCATCATCATCAGCATTGTCATCATGCTGCTGAAGGTGTTCGAGCTGGGCGGGCACACGATCAAGAGGGGGGCTGCGCGGGCCCACAAGCGTGCGCGTTGGAGGCAGGCGGCCGCGAGTCCAGGGGCTCACCGCCACAGGAGACAGAGGCGCAGCCATCAAGCACATCAAGGAGGGCGCCAGGTGTGCCGACGTCCAAGAGGTGAGGGCGGCACGATCATCCACGACGAACGCGGTCACGGGGTGCCCGTGGCCAATGAGGCGGCGAGCCTCGCCGGAGGTCCCGCTGGCGTCGTCGGGGGACTGCCCAATTGGATGCCCGTCTCGTGGGACGACGAGGCACCCAGCATGGAGCTGCGCAGCCACCGGGATCATGAGGCGCCACCTCGTCGAGGTCCTCGAGGAGGACGACGAGATGGCAAGGGCTGGTGGCCATCGACGTGGCCAGCGACAAGGAGGATCCGCTCTGGTCGCGAGGCCTTAGGCCCTAGGCCATCGGGACTGCACGGCATGCCCCCTCCACTGGTCGAGGAGGACCGCCGGAGTGGAAAGGAGGGGGGCCGCCAGCGGGCGCGGCGAGCCGCCGTGCGGCGAATGGGAGGAGGCGGCACGCGCGGGCTGGGCTGTCATCGCGATGTTGCGGGCCAACAGGCTCGACCAGGGGCTGCTGGGCACCGTGCACTGGCCGCTGCCACAGCGCTCGGGGTCGGCCGAGCTGGTGGCGGTGTGCGTGGCCATGCATGCGTCGCTTGGCCACGTCCGCACCGTCACCGACTGCGCGATGGTGCTGCACGACGTGGATGCTGGCCGCGGGTGGTGCTTGGCCTGGCACCGTCCCTTCCGCGAGGTGTGGCAGCGGTTCTGGCACCTCGCCGACGAGCTGGGGGACGGGGCCATCCAGCTCGTGAAGGGTGAAGGCCCACGCGACGCTTGAGGACGTGAGGCAGGACCGCATCGCAGAGTGGCAGAGGCTGGGCAACCACATGGCGGACAAGAAGGCCAAGGGAGGGGGCGGCGATGCACCCCTTCGACAAGCGGCTCGTGCGCGCGGGGGAGGCCAGACGCCTGGCGGGCAAGATTGCAGCGTGGATCGGCCGCGCGGCGCAGCTGGGCGAGGCGGCGCTGCTGGCGGCTGACGGAGCCGGGCCCCCTTGGCAGCCTTGGTGCTGCGAGGGCTGCAAGCAGCGGCGGGAGAGGGCGTTCGAAGTGCGAGGCCCATCCTGCCGCTGAACCCCCTGCCGCCACCACGGGCCGGCGCTGATCGTAGAGGGCAGCGGTGCGTGGTCGTGCGCGGGGTGCCCGGACTCCCGCGAGCCCGTGGTCGGCGGCATCGGCGCGACCTCGCGAGGACTCCGGGGCGACGACGGACGAGGCCCGGCGACGACAGCGCGCGGCCCTCGCTGGGGCACCCCGGCGCTGGAGGCCCGGGGCTCCCGCTGGAGGCGGGACGTAAATGCCGGCGCGGGTGCGAGTGTGGCAGCGCTTCGCTGGGGGCCCTGGTGGCCTCGTTTCCGATCCCTCTCGGGGCAAGGCCTGTTTGGGTGCGTGGAGTCAGATGAAGGAAGGGATGCGAGCTCTCGCTCCTGCCCCTTTTCTTACACTTGTTACACATCATCAGCATTAGCATCTTCAGCAGCAACCGCATCGGCATCATCATCACCATCCCCATCACCACCAGCATCAGCATCATCACTATCAGCATCATCATCATCATCAGCAGCAGCAAAAGCATTCTCATCATCACCACCATCAACAACACCAGCATCAGCATCAGCATCAGCATCAGCATCAGCATCAGCATCAGCATCAGCAGCATCAGCATCAGCATCAGCATCATCATCATCATCATCATCATCATCATCACCATTTACATCATCACAGCATCACATCATCAGCATAATCATCGGCAGCATCAGCATCAGCATCAGCGTCAGCTTCACCAACATCTTCAGAATAATCATCAGCATCATCAACATCATCACCATCATCATCAGTAGCAGCATCCCCACGAGCACATCCTCCATCCCGATTCTTCCTCCCCGTGCTCATGCTCCTCTTACTCCTCCTCCTCCTCCTCCTCCTCCTGCTCCTCCTCCTCCTGCTCCTCCTCCTCCTGCTCCTCCTCCTCCTCCTCCTCCTCCATCATGCCCCCTCCGTCGCCTCCTCCTGCAGCTGCTGCTGCTTCTCCTCCTCCTCCTCCCCCTCCTCCTCCTCCTTCGCCTCCTCCTCCTCCTCCTCCTCCTCCTGCTCGAGTCTCGAAATTCCTACCTGCATGGAACTGCTGGGCGTCTCCGACATTACGCCTGCGGGACACCTTCAACACAGCGCGAGGATGTGGCCTGGCGGTGCCACCGCCAGCCGAGGAGGGCGGGGAAAAAGGGAAGCGGGCGAGCAGAACGAGGAGGAAGAGGGGCACGACGCCGACGCGCAGGGCTTTTGCGGACTGCATCTCTGATTCCGCCGCTGGCTGGTCAGACTGAGGGCGACACTCGCCGCTGGACTCGCCAAGACTGCTGCAGAGGCGAATATCCTGCAGGGCGCTGAGGTATCGGCCGCAGGCATGGCTGCCACGAGGAAGGAGGAGGAGGGGGGAGGAGGAGGAGGAGGAGGAGGAGGAGGAGGAGGAGGAGGAGGAGGCCCCGATCCAGGCTCTGGTCCCACCGACCATGACACAGAATGAGAAGCCGGCACCACGGGAGAGGGCTGGCAGGTCCAAAGGGGGACGCGCATGAAAAAGAACCACGACACGGAAGGTACGGGGATCCGTGAAAACAGATCGAAGCCATTCCTTACCCTGCATCTGTCGCGATGTCAAAGGCACCCGAGTAATAACATAAGAACTCGCAAGCCTACGCCAGACTAAACTTGTGCCTTGTTCCAGCGCCCTTACTGTATCGTGCCGTGCTCCCCTGGGCTCGTGGTGTCTTGGGGCTACGCTGGATGGGTCTTGGAAACGTGGAATTGCACTACGCGCTGCTGAACTTTGCACAAAACATGCGTTGCAGCTGGAACCGAAACCTGCTTTTGAACGTAACGAAACCACAACGCCTCGAGCGAAGTTAACTGGAAGTCGAGTGCGGACTGACCTTCGAATGGAATGCCGACTGGATCGTACCTAGGCAACTGGATGTCGACGAAACTACAGCGGTTCAGCTGCCAGTAGCACACCAGCATCATCAGCAACACCACCATCATCCTTCCCACCCCTCCCTCTTCTTACGCCGCACCAGCGCAGGCCAGCGCGAGCCGTTGCGCCGTCATCCCCCTGCTCCTGCTCCGGAGGGGGGAAAACCACCGAGCTGGAATCGGCGACACATCGCCGAATGACCGGCGATAGGCCCCCGAGAGCCATGAAGGGGAATTGGGACACACAAATAAATACACACAAATAAAAATATCCCCCATATTTTCCCATATTTTCTGGGCTTTTGTCTTCCCCCCCACTTCCCATATTTTCCTATATTTTCTGGGAAATCGACGATTAATTGTGTCTGTGTGTTTTTTCCCCTCCTGACAGTCCACACGCTCCTGGGCGGGGTGGGCCCCCGGGGCCCTCTCGGCGCTGAGTGGGCGAGCGGCGACCGCCGCATGCCCCCTCCGCCGCCTGCCCCCCGCCTGCCCCCCCCGAGCGTTGCCCCTGCGCTCTCGCCTGCCGCTCGCGCCGCTCCATTGGGTGCTCGTTCTGGGGACCCTCCTGGAGCCACTCGCTCCACTCGTGCGTCGAAGCTGCGTCGAACGTCAGTCGAGTTGGGCCGACCCCGAGTCGAACCTGAGTCGAGCCTGAGTCGAACCTGAGTCGAACTCGAGCCGAGCTCGAGCCGAACTGGGGTCGAACAGATCCGTCAGGTGGGCTCCAGGGAGGCCCCCGAAACGAGCACCGAACGCTCCCTCCCCCCTCGGAAGCTGTGGCCGCCCTCCTCCTTGTCCTTCACCGCGAAGAGGGCCTCGCGGAGGAGGCCGGACTCGGCGGTGACGACCTCGGCCTTGTGGACCTCGCGGCTCTGATTCGGGGAGCCCGGCGGGGAACGGGCGGAGGAGGAGAGCCGGCGGCATCGGCAGCGTCTGCACATCGTTCCAGCGCCAATCGATCCCCATCCCCGCTGACGTGGCCTGGGCCCCACTGGCCGAGTTTCACGCCCGGACGGGGATACAAGCCGTTCCCTTCGGGATGCAGGCTGCTCCCTTCGGGTTTCGAGGGGCCTTTCCCAAACTGGTGCTGGTGGGATGGTGGGGCTGAGATGCCATGTCCTGGTGGGGATGGGGATAGGTTGAACGATACTGAGCATCGGCAACCGGATGAACATCGTCAAACTCGGAGCGACAACGGCAGCCTCAGCATTAGCATCGTCATCGGCATCAGCGGTGGCGGGAGGAAGACAAGCTGGAGGAATGCCAGAGGAAGCACCAAGAAGGCGAGAGAAGGAGGGGCAGGAGATAAGATAAGGCACCTAAAATGTCCCTGAGCGTCGTAGAACATCCACCATGCAACCCTCTCAAACATTACTATTTCACCTCCTCCATTATCCACCCCGCTCTTCCTTCCTCTTCCCTTATTGCCAAATTCGTAATTTTCTGTTCGTCACGGGGCTCCAAAGAGTCTTGGGGCCGCTTGGGGGTGCTAGGACTGTCGAAGGAAGTATTGAGTGTCGTCCCCATCCTCGTCCCCTCCTCCTCCTCCTCCTCCTCCTCCTCCTCCTCCTCCTCATCATCATCATCATCATCATCATCATCATCATCATCCTCCTCCCTTCCCCCTCCTTATCCCTCCCCCTCCTCATCGATCCCCGCCTCTCCTCACCGCTATTCCTTACTCTCCCCCCTTCTCCTCCTCCTCCTCCTCCTTCTCCTCCTCCTCCTCCTCGTCCATTTCCTCACGACTGCCATCCCTCCCTCCCTCCTTCCCCCTCCTTCCTCTCCTCTTCATCCTCCCATACCCCTCATTATCCCTTCACATCCTCCTCGATCCCCGCCTCTACTCACACATATTCCTTCACTCTCTCCTCTTCCTCCCCCTCTTTCTCCTTCTCCTCCTCCTCCTCCTCCTCCTCCTCCTCCTCCTCCTCCTCTTATTTTCCTTGTTCTTCTTCTTTTTCTTCTTCCTCCTTCTCCTCCTCCTAGCCGTCTCGGCCCAGGTCGGGGCATCGGCGCGCGCGGTTCGAGGCGGCTCGCGCGTCGTCGGAGCCTCTGTGATCCGCCACCGCATTGTCACGTCTACGGGATGCCCGGGCAGCGCCGTCGGGGTGCCGCCCGAGCCGGGAGTGCGTGGGGCAGCGGGGTCGGAAAGTCGAGAGGCCAGGCAGCAGCGGGGGTCCGTGGACGCGCGGGCCACGCTCGGAGCCGACCTGCTTCAGCAGGCAGCAGCGCTCAAGGCGGAGCTGGAGGAGTCGCTCCAGGCCAGCCTCAGAGAGCGGGTGCGGGCAGCGGTGGAGGAAGCGCCGGCGGCGCGGCGGGACCCACCCGGCGAACCGACGCCGACGCGGCAGCAGGACCCGCAGCCAAGCCTGCCCGCGCCGAGGGAGGAGGAGGGAGAGGAGGAATTGGATTTCCAGGGGAACACGACAAGGAGGAGGAGGAGGAGGAGGAGGAGGAATTGGATCTCCAGGAGGAGGAAGAGGAGGAAGAGGAGGAGGAAGAGGAGGGAGAGGAGGAGTTGGATTTCCAGGGGAACACGACAAGCCCTTCGCGAGACAGATCTCTGACCCCCCAGGGCGGAACTTCGATGGGCGGCCAAGGGCGGCCAAGTCCGGGGCGCGCCGCCGCAGCCCCCAGCGCTCGGGCAAGGCCTGCCCGGCGGCGGATAGCGCATCGCCTGGAGGCGAGGGCGGCCGCGAGAGCTCACAGAGCCTGCCGCGTCGCCGCGTCGCAAGAGGTGGTGCTGGGGCCGTTCTACCACCACCACCACCACAAGTTGGAGAGGGAGGTGGTCCTCCTCCTCCTCCTCCTCCTCCTCCTCCTCCTCCTCCTCCTCCTCCTCCGCCTCCTCCCCCTCCTCCTCCGCCTCCTCCTCCTGCACCCCTCCTCCTCCCTCCTCCCTCCTCCCCTCCTCCTCCTCCTCCTCCTCCTCCCTTCGTCCTCCTCCTCCTCTCCTCCCCTCCACCTCCTCCTCCTCCTCCTCCTCCCTCCTCCTCCACTTCATTCTCCTCCTCCTCCTCCTCCTCCTCCTCCTCCTCCTCTTCCTTTCCCCCTCCAACTTATGGCGGCGGTGGTGGAAAGCAGGCCCAGCAGGTGGTGCTCCAGCGGAGGACCGAGGGGCCAGGCCCAGGCAACACCTCCGGCTGCAGCCAGGGCGCACCGCGCCGGCCGGGGAGCGCGGCGCAGGGCTCCGGGAGGCCCTCGCAACACGGAAGCCCCGGGGCCGGCCGAGAAGCCCGCAAAGACGCGGTTACTCTCAAGATCAAGGCTAAAAGTACGGTGGCTGCGACGCACGCCGCACGAGGCGGCTCACGGGCCAACATGCTTACGGTTCGGGTGCACGCTGCGTGGATGCTTCCCCTGACCATGCAATGCTAACTAGGACTCTGGTTGCTACGTGCCTGCTTCGCAGACTTGGCGTGCCACCCGCTGGCGCGCCAGTGCTAGGAGACTGGTTTCTGAATTCAAAAAACGGCACCCTCACACACCCTTGCCGTGGCGCCAGGCTCCGCCCCCTCGCCAACAGCCCCGCTCGACGACGAAGGGCAGGAGGGAGGGCGGGGGGGGGGTATGACGTGACGCCCCCCCCCCGCCGTGTGGCTCCGGCACCACAGCCGCGCCCGCGCGCACGACGCGACGAGCGACGAGCGACGACGACGACGACGCGAGCAGCATGTAAGTGGCGATCTGCCCATTGCGCCTGTGTACACCACAACGCTCGCGTGCACCACACCGCGCGTGTGCACCACAGCGCCTGCGTACACCGCAACAACCGTGTGCAACGCACCGCCCGTGTATACCACAATACTTGGGAGCACTACAGCGCCGGTGTACATACACCGCAGCAGACATGTGCAACACAACGCCTGTTTACACCACAGTGCTTGCGTGCACCACAGCGCCTGTGCACGCCACAGCGCCTGTCTACACCACAACATCCGCGCGCAACGCAGCGCTGATGTACACCACAGCGCCTGCGTGCATAGGACAGGTAGAAGGAGCATGTACGTCAGGATATGATGCGGACAACTAAACGCCACGCCAGGAAAGTTCTGATAATCGAATGCGACGTTTTCCCCTCCTCCCTCCTCCTCCACCTCCTCCTTCTCCTCCTCCTCTGCGGCTTGGCGTTACAACGCACGTGCGCATCTCAGCGTGCACCGCAGAATGGTCGATTGAATCGGTCCACTTGGTTCTCGGACGGCCAGTTTAGCTGGAGCCTCCTGGACGCAAATGGGAGTTAGGGTGATGCGGGCGGACTCGGGGGGACTCGTAGATTCCAGCGGCGCTCCTTTGTCCATAAGTGTGTTGCTGTGTTGCACACGGCTGATGTGGTGCACACAGGCGCCGTGGCGTACACAGGCACTGCAATGCACGCAGGCATTGTGGTGTACACTGGTGCTGTGTTGCGCACGGCTGATGTGGTGTACAGAGGCGCTGTGGTGTACACAGGAGCTGCTGTGCCCGCAGGCACGGTGGCACAAACTGACGCTGTGTTGCACGTGGCTGCTGTGGTGTACATCGGCGGTGTGGTGTACACAAGCGCTGTGGTGCACGCGGGCACTGTGATGTACACAAGCGTTGTGGTGCATATCGCCACCTACATGCTCGTGCTACCCGTCCTCCGCCATTCCTAACCATTCCCAAACGCCGCCGGCGCGAAAAGTGACGTCATCGACCCCTTCCCCCCCCAGACGATTACCGTCATCGGCCTGGACTTAAAAACAGGCTCCAGCCGAGTCCGCGCGCACGACGACGATGAGCGACGAGCGACGAACAACGAGCGACGACGACGGACGACGACGACGACGACGACGACGACGACGACGACGACGACGACGACGACGACGACGACGACGACGCCTGCGGACCAGTCACCTATGTGGATTCCTACGCGGATACCTACGCGGATCCCAACGCGCACGGCGGCAGTGCCCGGAGCGCACTGGGGGGGGGGAGCGTTACGTCATTGGGGGGGGGGGGGAGCGGGGGCCACGACGCCCGTCATGCCCCAAGCAATAAAGAAATGGCCTCTTCGGCTTCGGAGGGTGGTGTGGCATGCGGGGCCAGGAGCATCGCCTCGACTGGGCGACAGTCTGGGTGAGGACGCCATGCAAACCCTTTACGACTTCTATGCCGAAGTCCTCGGGGAAGGCGGGACCGCCGATCGTTACGACGGCGCGGACCCCTCCGGGTGTGCCAAGGTTAAGTGGCACGACTGCATCGCGGATGTGGTCGATGGCTTTGATGAAACCCTGCAGCTCATCCTCGCGGGGCGCGACGAGTCGGCTGTTCTGGAACGCCTGCGCGCGCAGGCCGCCATCCTGAGCGACGCCGCCTTGAAGTTGGCGGCCGAGGATGCCGTAGGGGTCTGCCCGCCGCTTTTTGGCTGAGTTTCCCTTTTTCCCCGCCCCCCC